CACACCCACACCCACATCCACACCCACACCCACCCATACCCACACCCTTATTTCGTCGAACTATTGTAGATGGAGGATCTTCTTTTGCCACCCGAGCAGTATTCGATGATTTTCGACCAGTTTGTTTATGATAAAACCTCCATTCATCACCTGTTACCTCGTCACATAATCGCCATCTTCCTTCTTCAAATCTTCATAGATTTTCTTTGCATATTCGAATCCGTTCACTCTGTTGAGAATGCATTACTTGTTTAGTAAAGTTTCGAATGAACGGTGCCATAACTTAGACCAGTTCGCTCTTGCAGTTCTTCTATTGTAACATAAGAATCATCGTTAATAATACTATGAACTTGTTCAATATTTTTAGCAGTGATTGCGGTTACAGGTCTACCAGGTCGTTCTTCATCTTCCATTTCTTCTCGAATTTCACGAAACCCTGGAATCCATCTGGCAACTGTTCGAAAGGAAGGAGCTTTCTCACCAAAAACAATACATAGCTCATCATGGATAGTTGTTGCTTGAATATTAATTGCAGTACGCACTTTAATGCAGAAGAGAAAATTATTTTTATCCATTTAAAACACAAATGAAGAGTGTCAAGATTCGATGTAACTGTATATTCTTCACTTTCTATAGAACACGATAATAAACGGCACCGGCACAAAAAAGGACATGTGCCTTTGTAAAGATACGAATAAACGATAAAGTCTGGAAAGATGCGAGAGAAAATATTAAAGAAAAGAAGAAGAACAAAGAGAAGATCAAGAAAAGAATACATATTGAAGACAATATGAAGTAATACAATCGTTACACATGCTAGGCAAACTGATCTTATGAGAACTTTATTCTTATGATATCAATTGAAGTATTATCAAATAGTATAGAAAGAAAGAGCATTTTTTGTCTCTATCATTCTATATAAAAGAAAAGTTTTTTCAAGCTTACTATATGGTACTAAAATGTCACTACCACTACTTTTGGATACCCCTAAGTATTTTGAGAAAAACTTATTCTTTTGCTAAAAACTTATCTTTTTCTATGAAAGAATAATTTTTTCACAAAAAAATAACTTTTCCACAAAAAATAACTTTTTAGGAACAACGAATTCCTTACAAAAGTATGATTTTTATAAAAAGGATAAGTTTTTTCCAAAAGAATGATTTGTTTGTAAAAAATATGATTTTTTTAAGTAAAAAATGGCTTTTTTTTAGTAAAAGTATTTTTTTCAAAAAAAACCGAACGCATAATTTCGCAAAACCAATATACAGATTCGAATTCCTCGACCCCGATTACCTTTGGTCAAACTTCATAAAAAATAGTCGTTTTTAGGAAATTGCCGTTCGTTCGATGAATTCGGAAGCCTTCCGTTAAAAGTAAAGGGAACTCGTGTCGCGTTCCTGAGAACGGGAATGTCAAACACTCTAACATAAAAAGACAATTAAGCATGTTTACAACCCTCACCATATTGAAATAAAGAGAGAAAAGGCAAATTTGAGATGCGTTCCCGTTCCTAGGAACGAAACTCTGAAGAACTGGAACGGTGACACCCCTATTAGGCGCCCTTGTCTTTTTTCGCATGTCAGACAGCTGTAATTACAGTTGATTGTGAATAATGAATTATATAGATAATTAAACCATCAATCAAAATCATTCTTCAGAAAAGTGTTCATGGGTTTTCATAGAGTTCTCCTAGTGACGAATTTTATTATGATGCTTTTTAGTTTTTTCACGACTTACATCACCTGACTTGTGAAAAAGTAATTTTTCGAATTCTAATGATGCAACGGTGTCCATGTTCAGTAGTCTGTGCACAATTCAAGTAGAAATGACGATTACTATTAATTCGACAATCGAATTCTCATTTTCTACGAAAAATTGTTTTTTCGAAAATTCGAGAGATTCGTGCTTCACACCGCATTTCTTATT